GTTTTTGAAAAAGAAGAATCATGAGTGAGTGGTGTGCTACACGTAACAGATTTCCTTCCTCTGTAATAATCTAATCATATCATGGACCGTCCTTTAATATATTTTGGACGTTTCCGCATTAGATAGGTTATCAGGGTAAGCATCCTTTAATCTCATTTCTGATTTTAAGATTGAGATTCTGAAATTTTAATTCCATTTGAATTCAGCAAATATTCACTGTGTATTTTCTGAATTGAGATTTAGATAGACACGGGCATGGATTAGTCAGCACTTTCATTATTCATTTAGAATGCCATTGTTTACCTATCTAGATACGTAACACTTTTACTAAAGTTAAGATCATGGTAGGAAAACATTTTATGTAGTGTTAAACTTCTGAATTCATCCTCAATGGGAAAATTTTAAAAATTTATCTTGGTTTCTGTTTTCCTTAACAATGTTCCTTTCTATCAAAGAAGTGATTTTTGAATTGTGGGACATTAGTGGAGGGAAAAACAAAAACAGAGGTAAAGGGGAGATGATATGTAAGAGTTCAAGAAGGAAGAAAATATTTTAAAACTGATTGTAGTAGCTATTGTGCTATATACTGTTTGACATGATTAAACTACAGAATGGTAGGATATCTGTAATAGCTCCCAATAAAATGGTTTTGAAAAAAAAGGAATAAAGTAAAACTTATTTAAAGTTTTAACTTCCTTTTATCAACATTACCATCCCCCTCAACCAATGAAGACATCTATCCCTCCCTCACTTTTCAACATCATCTTGTTCTAGATGAAGATGACTGCCTTATTCTCTCAAAGAAAGTGGTCAAGAAAGGTAGAAAGTACGCTTCTTAACACTCATTACCTTGAGTAGATTTCAATTTCAATCATCAGTTTTTTATTCACTCTCTTAAATTAGCTATGTGAGAATACAAAAAAGTATATGATAGAGCAGAAAAGCAATTTCATGACAAGCTATAATATGTCAATATATCAAAATATATATTGGGAACAATGTTTAGTAAGTAATAGTACCCAATTTTCCTGGAAGATAAATGGTTTGAAGGGAAATTTTTCTACCTATTGTATGAGCATAAGACTCAAGTATTCACTAGAAAGTAGGTTAGATAAAAACAGCATACCTCATATATCAGTGTTATTGTTTTATAAGTACTATATGAGAAATTAAGTTTAAAAACCAAGCTAAATGTAACATTATAAATCACAGTTAAATTAAATGTTTATATTTACCTTCTTATTGCCTATGAACCACAAAAATGGCAATATGAAAAAATAATTACCACAGAATTGACTGAATAAATTATAAATTATATTCTAATGTATGGAAAATCTAAATTACTCAATCAAACGATTTAAAACAAAACCAGCCTGGTGATGGCTCACTGTTAGAATTGAGAACATAGAAATAAATGCATTCTACCAGGTGTGTCCCTGCCTTTGTAAATGAGTGTAACTGAAAGTATGGCCATATGTCCAATTCTCACGGCTTGTGGAACTAGAGTCCAATCACCCAAGTTAACAGTTCATGTATTGGAGTCTAATAAGGTGCCCTACACATGTATGAAATCATTTGCACAACAGTGTTTCACCATTGTCTATATTGTTGCTATCAAAAGAATTACCTTAACCTTGAATTCTTTTTTTTTAATTAATCATTTTATTGGGAGTTCTTACAGGTATTATAATAATCACTAATTCAATTAGATCAAGTATAATTGTACAATTGCTACCACCATCAGTTTCAAAACATTTTTTTCTACTTGAACTCTTTAATAACAGCTCCCTTTTATCCCCTCCTCCCCCAACCTATCCCCCCAGGAACCCTTATTATTATATATACATATAATTATTATTATTATTTTGCCATATCTTACGCCAACCAATGTATTCATTCACCTGCAATTCTGTTATTTGTTCCACTCTAGTGGGTTTATACAATTATTGTTACTACTGGCTCCCCTTCTTCTCCCCTCTCTCTGGTACCCTCAGGGAATCATTACTTCTGTTACTGTTTCTGAAGTGTTATCTACCCTAGTTTTCATGCATCGGATACAAATGTCCTTAATTATACAAATGAACATATACAGGTCTAACAAGATTAATGAGGTAAAAAAAAGACCATAATAGTAAGGGGAGGAAGTATTAAAATACTAGAGAGTAGTTACATGGTTCATCAGTGCTATTCCACTCTCTATATTTATCCTCCCTTCCTTGAGGCCCTTCTGTGAGGAACTCTCCATTATCTTACAGGTAGGTTTTGGGTCTCCACTTTGTCCACACTCCCTAACATCAATTTTATTGCTTATTTTTGAATTTCTGATAACTATTCCTGTCAGCACCTCATGATCACACACACTGGTGTGCTTCTTCCATGTGGCTTTTGTTGCTTCTTGGCTAGATGGCTGCTTGTTTAACGTCAAGTCTTAAAGACCCAAAATACGATATCTTTTAATAGTTCGGCACCATCAGCTTTCTTCGCCACATTTGCTTAGGTACTCATTTTGTCTTCAGCGATCATATCAGGAAGGTGAGTCGCATACAGTATCACATTCACATCATAAAAAGGCAGACAGAACATGAAAAGAACAACTATATATTGTTCTGAGGTGGTTTATTCATTGGTACCTTATATAATGGTCTCAGGTGATTATTCATTGGGCCCCAAGGGGATAATCTACTATGTGCTACAATATAATGATTAAGATATATTTAAAATCAAACCAGACATATAGAGAAACCATAGTTGAATAAATGGACTTTGAGCTCTCACTTGATTGTAGCCCTAATATAAGAACAATTAGTTCTTGTGACACTGCACAATTCATGGCCCTTCACAGTACTCTGCCTCATGAGACCACTGCAAATATGAATGCCATATTAAAATGTGGTGAAGAAATCATATGTTGCCTGGCTATTGGCAAAAACAGTGTCAAACGTCTTAAAGGCTTGTCTCAAAACAAGCAGGGAGTTAAATGAAGAGTCAGATAAGTCCACAAAGAAGAAGCACTCGCACACCAGTGTGCATGATGCAAGGATTGTAAACAGTAATATTCAAGCCCAAATGAATGAATGGTACTAGTATCTACATGCTAAACACCTGGTGTTCAGAATACTCTGGAAGATAGTGGGAACCCAAAACCCATTTTCAGGGTCCTTACGTGCTGAGTCCCGAGTGAATTCCCACTGTCCATAGACTAGGCGTGTAAGCAGGTCAAATGTCAGACAAAGAACATTGTAAAGTCGTTCTCAGCAACTGCACTTAGATACCCTTTTGACCCACTTTCAATTCATTCTAAATTTTTAATATCCTCTGCTTTTATCAGATTGAAGTCTTTCTCTGTTTTGTATGATCAATGTTGATGGGTCTCTTTTCTTTTGTTTTTAGTCCTGGGACTTTTATGTTTTTCTGTAAAGGCAAGCCAGAATTGGTGGATTTATAAAGACAATAACTGCAATAATAATTACTCAGGTGCATAGAAGGGAGGGTGGAGGAAATGGGGAGTCAACATCCATGGGTATAAGAAGGAAGAAAATGTTACCACATTGGTTGTAGTGATTATTAATATGACTGAATTACTGAATTGTGTGATGTGTTCATTACAGTTCAATAAAAATAATTTTTAAAGAGAAATAAATACATTCATCTATAGACAAGTGATCTTCATTAAAATCCACTCAATAAAGAAAAAACAGTCTAATTAATTGCAGCCTAACACCTACAGAACAAAAGAAACACGCTCAAGTCCTCACACCATATGCAAAAACTAACTCAAAGTGGATTAAAGTCCTAAACATTAAAGTTAAAACTACAATAAAGTTTCTAAAAGAAAACATAAGGACAAAATTATGAGGGGCTAGGGTGCAATGGATTGGTATAAAGAGAAAGAGAAGAAGAAGAAAAAAGGAGCCCAAGATCCTAAAATTCTGTTCAGCTGGATCAATTTTTGTCCCGTAGTGTGAGGGCTGACAAACTCTGGTTCCCATTCAAATTCAATCTCTACCCTAATTTTAGAAATAAACGTATTGAACTATAAGGTTCATCCATTTACATGGTTTATCAGGCCACTTTCTGCCTACAGTGGCACAGCTAAGCTGCAGTAATAAAGACCATACAGTTTGTAGAGTCTAAAATACTTAATAGCAATATTAAAATATTTACTACTTTCCAGGAAAAATTGCTAGCTCTTCTCTTAAAGCAACCTCAAAAAAATACAATCAAGTGCTCTAGATGATAAATCAAGAAAGGAGATTAAAATGAAATCATTAAAACACTCAATCCAAATTAAGGCAAAAAAGGAGGAGAAGTACATGGAACAAATTAAAAGCAAATGGTTAGATGCGACAGGTCAACCAAATATGTTGGAAATCACAAAAAGTGTACAGAGTTTAAACAATATGCTTCCTCTAATATGAAACAGCTCTTTTAAATAAAATTTATTTAACTCTCACCTCTCAAGGTTTATTTTATTCAAAAATATTGTTGGGAACTTGTTACATACATTACTTATACCATGAATACTCTTAAACTGATTTTTTTTAATGTCAATCATCTTATAACCTTAGCCTTTTAACATAGTAAATAAAAAACATGATACAACTAGAAATTAATGCCTATATGAAATAAAAGGCAGTCAAACATAAATTATTTTAAAATTTTACATGCCATATATAAATATTATGGCATTAAAAGCATTGAAGTGCTATTATAGTTTCATGGTTATCTCTGATATTTGATAAATAATATAACTCAGTATTTAATGTGGGGGAAGATCCTCATTAATTTGGAGGGAGATCACATATTTTAGGCTTTCTATCCTATTTTGGGTTATCATAAAATTCCTAAACCCTAACTTTGAGTTTTACATAAGTATATATTTCTCTCAAATTGACCCAGGAGGGTGAATGGCATGAAACTGAATAAAGAGCTATAAAGCTCTCAAGGGCGGAGGGTTAGGAGAAAAGGATAAATATCTGATCGATGTGCACTTCCATTACCTGGGAATTTAGCAGCTCTTCACACATGTGGGCTTGTTTCTCAATTGCAGAAAGATACTGTTTTTCAAGAGCTTCTACTTGCTGTTTAACTGAAGACTGCAGTAGTGCCTGGAAACAAACAAAGCATGTCACTTAGAGCTCACACAAAACTTGGAGTCTACTGTAGGAATGAGAGATTTTTTACATGTGTGCATATCTGTAATTGGATACTTTTTCATCTACAGAATGTGCATTTGCAAGTATTGAAGCGCATTCAGATATAACACCACTTTAAGCTTTTTTTTGTTTTTCTCTGGTCAAGATTGCAATTTTTGTGGCTCAGCATATCCTTCCAAACACCTTCTTTAAAAAAAAAAAAGTCATAGCAGATGATAAAGAGGGCGAGTAGCTCTGGTAAATGCAACTTCAGCGCAGTGAAGACCACACAGGATGAGAAGCACAGGAAAGCTACTTAGAAAAAAAAAAGCAAAGGGAAAAAAGAACCAGACATATTTCACTGGCTGACAAAACTCCACATCCTCTCGGCAAGCTGTAATATCCCATGGGCCAAGCATGATCTTCAAGACCACAAGTCAAGTAAAAGCAGATGGAAACTCTGAGCAATTTCAAACATAAAAGAACTGCCCCCCAGGAAGTTCACGCCCCTAATGTGAAAAGGTATGTTAGTGTGCAGAAAAGAAAATCCCAAGGCAGATTTCATTAAAAAGTAATAAAACTTGCAAGACTGCACAAACTTCACTGAGTAGTATAAATGCTGGACCCCCAGTAAGACAAATGCAAAGACATTGACACTGTTCTGATGAAAGGCAAGTCGGAATTTGAAGATGTCCTACCCACTCATTTCCTTGTGGGGATTCTTAGAATATTGTCATCGTTTTCCTCTCCTATTTTGTGAAGCATTATGTTAAGTGTTGTGAGTAATATCTTTCATGCAATTTAGAAATCCTAAATCTATCTAAAATATGCATTCAACTATATATATATATATGTGTGTGTGTATATATATAAATTCTTTAGCAGCCAGTCTATTTTTAAAGGTCTATCTGGATAATAAACTACTCATAATCAAAATACTAAGTTGAAACAGACACAAGTCTTATAGAAAACAGACCTTTGGCACATTCGCCAAGTAAAAGAAAATAAGCCAAATCTCTTAAATAATCTCTGTTTTGAAAATAGATTTACTTGGTTGGAAACAACATGCTTTAAGATGCTAAATAAATACGCATGCATTATTTTTTTAAACTGGGACAAAAATATTTTTTAAGTCTCTGGAATGAGCTCTCATTTCACATAATTAACTTTCCTTGACAAATGTTAGATGCTCTACCACCCCTGTAACTCAGCAGTTTCTACTCTGAAATTGCAGAGCGAAGTAACGAAGCAATAAGGTTCTGAGATGTAATCAAAATACAGCGATTTGTCGAGCTTCTTGGTCGCTGCTGTTGTCAGGTGCACCAGTCCCCAGTGCTGGCTGGCCCTCCTACGAGAGAAGGAAGCACTGTCTGGGCCAGGGCCATCTTTACAATAGTTGGGGTGTCGCAGCCCATGGTGGCAGCCACTACATCAATCCAGCTTCTTGAGGGCCTTCCTCTTTTTGAGGGACCTTCTACATTACCAAGCTGAGGTCCTTTTCCAGGAATTGGTCCTTCCTAACGTCTACAGTAAACAAGTAAAGACTCATTATCCTTAAGGAGAATTCTGGCTATACTTTTCTCAAGACATGTGTTTTTTTGTCTTCTCTAGATTCCCAAATAATTAATCTATATTAATCACAAAATATAACCTGAAAACATAAACCAAAATGTAATCTCCTCATATTATGAATAACCACCAATGCCAATGCCATCATGTGAACTCTGATCCACAGTGACCCTCTCTCTCTATAGGACTTCTGAGGCTGTAAATCTCTCCTGATGAGGGGCTGCTGGGTAAATCTCTAATATACCACTGGCAATTTAAAATATACTGTTTAGAGTTTCAAGAAATTTTAAAAATAGCATAGTAGCAGACAAATCTCTTAGAATAACACAGAGACAGTATATTTTGTAGAGAGGAAAATGCTATCACCATATATTTTGGGACTTGCAATAAAACAGAATTATTTTTGGCTTAATGGAAAAATTTTTTTCATTTTCCTATTTGTCCTGGTTCCAAATAATTCTAGCTATACTTATTGGTGTCTTTCTGTGGAGCAGATGTAGAGTGATAAGTCGCTCTAAATTTCCTAGCAACCAAAAGATTTCTGAGTGAGATACTTATATTCACTGGCACCAATTATTGGAGCCCTGGGGGCATAGTGTGGGTTACATGTTGTCTTGCTAATGGCAAGATCAACAGTTCAAAATCATCAGTAGCTCCACAGGAGAAGCATGAAGCTTTCCACTACAGTCTGGGAAACTCACAGGGGCAGTTCTACTCTATCCGTCTAGGGTCACTATAAGCCACAATCAACTTGATCACAGTCAGTTGGGTTTTTTTGTTTTTGTTTCTGATGTTCCTCTTCGATCAGGCCTGACACATGAGACACTAACACGAAGTTAACAAAGTGAAATCCATTATCATTATTTATAAAAGGAAAACAGTAAACAATAACAAATTTCCAAAGAAGCAACGTATACCCTTCCCCAAATTACCCATGTCCATCAAGTCATAGGATGTGTTCATATTGCTGATGCCTTTAGCTATCAAATTGCCTGAGGTTTCTGCTCTATCAGCTTCTATCTGCTCTATCTGCTCTTCAGCCTTTGCTACTCTTTGTGGACTCTACTTCTGGCTCTCACCATGCTACCCAGGCATGAGGGGCTCTCTTGCTACCACCCTGCCAGGGGCCAGTGCTGCTAGAGGGGCAGGCGTGCAACTTCAGAAGAGGGCATAACCAGGCCTGTCTTGCCCTGCACATCCAAGTGTTAATGCTCTTTGAGCTCAGGCAGCAAGTCTCCAGACAAGAGACATCTGCCTCCACCCTATCATTGGAAGACACCTGCTTAGGTGTCTCCAAAGAAATCTGAGCACAGGAATAAGAAGACGTCTACATTGCACGCTTGAGGACTAGCTCATTAGGTCAGCCAGAAAGCCTCCTGCCAGAAGGGATTCGAGTCAAATTCTGTGTGCCAGTAACATCACTGCAGCTGCCTCACTCCATAGGCCAGGAAATATACCCACCTGTCTTGTGGGCATGTTATGGCTCTTTCATAGTTTTACTTTCTTTTAGGTGTTAGAGGTTCTTAGTGCATGGACATCAGGTCCTTGGTCCAACTAATATATCCCACTCTAGTTTTCTTGATGATAGTGAGGTCCTCTAGAGTCTCTTTAGGATTGGTCCTTACATAGGCCTGCTTCCTACCAATTTTACAGCATGATCCTCTCACCGGGACAACAGACAATATAGATCACAACAAATTATGGTTAGATTGAGAAGAATAAGAATTCCAGAACACTTTAATGGTACTCATAGAGAACCTGTGTATGGATGAAAAGGCAGTTGTGCAAACAGAACAAGGGAATACTGCATGGTTGAAAATCAGAAAAGGGGTGTGTCAGGGGTGCAAACTCATACCACATTATTCAATCTATATGCTGAGCAAATAATCAGAGAAGGTGGATCATATGAAGAAGAACAAGGCATCAGGATTGAGCAAAGGCTTATTAACATTCTGAGATAATCAGATAACACAACTTACTTGCTAAAAATGAGGAGGACTTGAAGCACTTGCTGATGAAAATCAAGGATTACAGCCTGGAGAATGGTTACAAAACTAACTACTGGTCCAGTAAATCATATCATGAAAAACTAAGAAAAGAGTAAAGATGCCAAGGAGTTCATCTTGCTTACATCCACAGGCGATGTCCATGGAAGCAGCAGTCAAGAAAGCAAATGACATTGCATTAGGTAAATATTTGGTACAAGACCTTTTTCTTTAAAGTTGGAAAAATAAGTATGTCAATTTGAGGACTAAGGTACATCAGACCCAAACCATGACATTTCCAATTGCTTCATATGCATGTGGACGTTAGTCACTGAATAAGAAATACCAAAATAAAAATGATGCATTTGTACTACGTTGTTGGTGAGGAATACTGAAAGTACCATGGACTGCCAAAAGAGCAACACGTCTTGAAACCAGTACAGCTAGACTGCTCTTTAGGGGCAAGGATGGAACTTTCATCTCAGGGACGTTGAACACCTTGCCAAGAGGAAACGTGCCCTAGAGAAGGACGCCAGGCTTGATAGAGTGGAGAAGTGAACAAGTGAAAAAGAGGAAGGCTTTCTACAATATGGATTGACAGAGTAGCTGTAACAAGGGGCTCAAACACAAGAACAAGTGTGAGGATGGGTTGGGAAGATGCTTTGTTCTGTTGGTACAGTGTAGCAATGAGTTGGAACGGACCTGATGGCACCTAACCAAAACAACAATATTGGCCAACAAGAAGTAAAACTCTACTTGTAAATGATATGACTCTAGATGGGAAATACCCCAAAGAAAACTGTTGAAAATAACTGAAACTTTTATCAATCCAGCAGAGTAGAAGATCAATATACAAAAATCTGCAAAATTCCTGCATAAAAATATGCAACCACTGTTGAACATAGTATAGTACTTCCTCACACAAGTGGGGCTAGAAGAGCCCAAAGCACAATCACATCAACTCACACCCATGTTCGTCACAGCACTGTTCACAATTTCAGACAAAAACAACCTAAATGCCCATCAATAGAAGAATGGATCAAAAAACTGTGATACATACACAAAATGGAATACTACATATCATGAAAGAATGATGAAACTGAGTCAATTCATAACATGGGTAGATTTGGATAATATTATGCTGAGCAAAGTTAACCAATCACAAAAGGGCAAATATTACCATATATACTCTCAAGTATAAGCCGACCCGAACATCTGCCTAGGCATCTAATTTTACTACAAAAACTGCATTAAAAAAGTGCTGAAAAACTCAGCTTATACACGTTATCTGAGTATATGATATATACACGATATATGAGTATGTGGTCTCATATATGGCATATGAGACCATTGTTATAAAAGAATAATGGTTTTTCATACCGAAAGAAAGAGTTTGATGGTTACCAGGATTGGGCTGGA